TTTGTGTATGTTTTTTTTTTTTGGTAATTCACGTATATAAATAAATAACTTTATGCAGCAAAAAATACACATAAAACAAAAATAAAAATACACTCAATTGCAAAATTGCTTCTAAAAAAAAGTATACATATGAACCCTTTTTTTAAGTACATATATATGAACTTTTGATGCTTGTGTTATAATCGAAAAAAAAACCTAGTCAATTTTATTCACGTCATCAGAGATTAGTGTGACTTTTGCTAATTTGTTTAGGTATTATCTAAACTTATGAATTCAATTATTTTGATTTGAAATTACTCTTGTCAATCTGTATCATGAAAAATATAATGTACTTTTAAAAAGTGATAATTTTAGTCACTTTTCACAAAATTTGACACAAATCTTACCCATAGTTTAAACTCTTTAGTATAAAGTAATGTTTACCTTTTAAAAAATATATTGATTATAATGTGGTATTGAAATTGTGATAGAAAAAATGAGACTGAAAATAAAACGAGTGGATCAAAATGATCACTTTTTAAAATGTACAGAAATCAAAATAATATTTTTAAATTATATGAACTAAAATAAGTTCGGACACTAAAACAAACGTTCTAAAAGTATAAAAACTAAATCAACGAAATTAGAAAGTACTAAGTCTGGATTTTAACCTTAAATTTTTTATTTTTAAATTTACGTTTGCGAACTAAACTTTATTAAATTAAAAAAACCTACGCTTTGCGTTCGGAAAATAAAATAGAGAGATAATTGACGTATGTGCTAAGCTAACTGACAGTCAAAATCTCCACATTTCACATTCTCCGAATCGGATAATCCAAGAAACAAAAATGTCGACCCTTCGTTTCGCCAAAAGGCCGAAACCAACGAGCGGTCAATCGGGTCGGTTTCCGTCTTCATTTCCTCGCTCTGTTCGCAGAGCTCCCAGCTTCAATTGAATTATCTTCTTCTTACACCTCGTTGATTGGGAGAAGAATTGTATACAGATTTCATTTTCCTGCTCTATTGCCGACTTCTTTTTTTTTTCAATTTCACGCGAAGTCGTTGTCGATGCTTTTGGCGGCGAAGATGAGAAGAAATGCTCGCATCGCTACCAACTGGCTTGCGGCGTCCGGAAAATTAAATTTCCTCTCGGTTTGTGCTGTCCGCTTCCATTAATTCACCGTCTCTATTTCGTTTCTGATAAATTAGTTTTGGCCACTGAAATTTTGATGATGTTTTTGTGTTAAGGTGCTTTTAATAGCGGAAATTTTGTCTGAACTTTTCTGTTTTTCTTCTTTTACTATTCGTGAAGTGGATTGTATTTTGGGAATAACTTACATGTAATAACTGTTGTAATTAAGAGGTTTGAAAATTTAAGAGAATTACATCCCAATATTAGAAATCTCATTGAGGTAGAGATATTTACATTTTGATCATCATTCTAAATATCTTTCATCGTTTACTGACTTTTGAATTCTGATAACTGCTATATTGAGATTTTATATGTATTGTATTCAAAATAGGTGGGCTCTGAAAATGCATCTTACTCCATGATCGGTAAAATTAATAGTCATAGAATATTCGGGGATCGACTGGAGGCCTCTAGGATGTATGCTACTTCTTGTGCTAAGTTGTCGGATGAAACCCAAAAAGAAAATTCCGATTCCAATATGTTGGTTGATTCATTTGGAAGGCTGCACACTTACTTAAGGATCTCCTTGACAGAACGCTGCAACCTGCGATGTCAGTACTGTATGCCTGCAGAGGGTGTAGACCTGACTTCCAGCCCCAAACTTCTTACCCGGAATGAAATTCTTCGATTGGCTAACCTTTTTGTGAGCTCTGGAGTGAATAAAATTCGCTTGACTGGTGGGGAGCCTACCATTAGGAAAGATATTGAGGACATATGTTTAGAACTGTCTAATTTAAAAGGTTTGAAGACTCTGGCTATGACCACCAATGGAATTGTCCTTGCAAGAAAACTCCCGAAGCTGAAAGAATGTGGGCTTACTTCTATTAATATTAGTTTGGATACATTGGTTCCAGAAAAGTTTGAATTCATGACACGGCGCAAGGGGCACGAAAAGGTTATGGAATCAATCAATGCTGCAATAGACCTCGGTTACAACCCTGTTAAAGTATGTATTATCATTGCTAAAAGAAAACCATCCTTTTCGAACTGTTGTTAATTTTCTCATTTTCCTATTTCTCTATCAACTATATGTTGTTTTTGGAAGTCCACGCTAATCTATTTTCTTGTTTACCGTTTTGATACAGCAACAGACTGATATAATTCATACCTCATGCATCCTCTTACAAATTTTTTTCGCTATCTACTATTTTCAGGTGAACTGTGTTATAATGCGTGGCTTCAATGATGATGAAATATGCAATTTTGTTGAGTTGACTCGTGAGAAACCAATTAATATTCGATTCATTGAGTTTATGCCTTTTGACGGAAATGTTTGGAATGTCAAGAAACTGGTACCCTATTCAGAAATTTTTCAAACAGTGGTAAGGTAGAATCCTCACAGGTGATCTTAAAGATTTTGATATTTCCACGAATGTCCTTTATTTGTGCTAATTCGTTATATATTGCTGAACAGACTAAACACTATACAGGCCTGACACGACTAGGAGATCACCTTACAGAGACAGCAAAGAATTTCAGGATAGATGGGCATCAGGGTACAGTTTCTTTTATCACGTCAATGACTGAGCATTTTTGTGCTGGTTGCAATAGACTGCGACTCCTAGCAAATGGAAACTTCAAAGTCTGCTTATTTGGTCCATCAGAGGTAAATCTTCTTCTAGACTATTGTTGGATTTGGCTTAGAATGAGAGCAATATCATCAGAGACAGATTTATTTGAGTTGAAATACCCAATCTGATAACTTCCTTGGAAAGCTTTTTAGACCTGTCAATATTTCAAGGTCACATACGATTTTAAATTTCTTTTCAAAGGATGTTTTGATTGGTTTACTATTGACTAACACCTGGGTCCTAGGAGTTATAGTGTTCATGGCAATGGAGGAGATGTAGATCACTGGGATATCTGGTGAGCCTCCGTGGCACTAGGTCTTAAAGAGGGCCTTGGTTAGACTTTAAGTGATTCTCAGAGTACCTGGTTTTCTTTGTGGGCTTCTCAAAGTAAGGCCCATACAGGTATGCTCATGTATTCTCAATCTTGAGTACATGTTTGAGGTTTCCGGTCGATGATAAAGTTAGTTTAAACATGTGGATGTTTTTATGTGTTTGCCTTCTAACCTAGGATTTTCCATCCCATAGATGTTGTCTCAACATGAATTGAGCGATCTTCATTAAGAAAAACCTAAGACGTTGCACACATACTATTTCAGAGGACGCGTCCATAATATATGCATACATTGTGGTTGTGTCTTAGATTTTCAGTAGAAAAGCCTCCTAGGTCTTGTGGTAGTCCTGCTTTCTAACCTGGTGATTGTTGAGGGCCTGGGAGATTTTTAGGTGCATGGATAAGAAAAGTATCTATTGGTAATCCTTTTTATTGTCTCATATTCTTAATTAGATCAAGCATGATCCTTAGTTGTCTCCGACCAACTTAAATTTCATTCATATGTTGCTATAATAGTCGAAATGACTTTATGAAAAGGTTTTCAGTCGTATACCTGCACCCCGTATGTTCTGTCAACCTTGTTCTCAGGTCAAAGTCAATACGTTGTGCATTGTTGTTGAGTTGGATGAACTTTACTTCTAGATTTATTGATCTGAAGTAGCTCAAAATGTGTCATTTGCTAGACCTTTGTTTGCTTAGTTTTAAACTCAATATGGACCAAATTACTTGTGAGATAGATTGATAGGCATAGGATAGATTCCTGGTGAAGTACTGCCTGTCCATTTGTATTGTATGTTTATTCTTTAACTAATTCTTGACACTACAACTGCAAGTATAAAAATTCTTATCCATCCATTAATTTATTAGGGATCATTAATTTCAGGTTAGCTTGAGAGATCCACTTCGTCAGGGTGCTGATGATAACGAACTACGAGAAATAATTGGTGCAGCGGTACTCAACTTTATCCTTTCAATTCAAGATGCCTTAAACTTCATATTCTTAACATCTAACGAATTTCAGTCTAACTTATTTTACCATATCACCCTATTCGCTGCTATTGTGGGTATCATTGGTAATTTTACTCTTGTTCTTCAGGTAAGAAGGAAGAAAGCATCACATGCTGGAATGTTTGACATTGCAAAGACTGCAAATAGACCCATGATACACATCGGTGGCTAGGCTAAGCTTGGTAATTCCTTTCCCAAGACCTTTTCCCTTTCCAAACATGTCCTAGAGATCTGTGTACGGGCCTTGAGGTGGGTGCAGGTGCCCGGGTATAGGACCCAAAAAAAATGTCTTAGAGACAATCATATCTCTTGACTTGCAAATCTAAACTGCTTCAGGTTTCATTTTTGTCCAAGTATCTTAACTGGAGTAGAGAATTGTTGGTATACATGGAAACTGTAGAAACCACAGTCAAAACTGTACTGATACTATGAACAAGCCTGGTAAGTGAAAAACTCATACAAAAAACCCATACCCTGTTCTGATTTACTGCTGTAAAAAAAAAAAAGCTATCTCTCCCTTGCTGTTTCCTGTGCAACTTCTGTACCATTCTGCCGGTTGTAAGTTAAATGTCAATACAGAATGATTAGTTTTGATTATTTTGCGCCATTAGTTTGGTAGTTGAGCAAAATGTGATGTTATCATGTTTGTCCTAATTTCAAATTCAGCGTTGGAATGTTTTTGGTTTTGATCCTTTGCACCATCACATGAAAGAAGCAGCAGATTTATGGAATTTGTCGTAACGAAAGGGGAAATTCTGAAAATGACCCAATACAGCAAAAAACAGGGAGTGGAAGACTTTGACCTTCACGTCATGCATCAGTATGATTCACCTTCTTATAAATATATTTCGATACTTTTTTCTTTTTTTGGTTGCATAATTTATCATCTAATTTGATGGTCAAAGTCTTCTATTTCCTCTGTTTAGTCCTTTCCAATCACACACACGTATATGTTTATTTCTGAGTTCATCAACAAATGGGTGAAGTTTAGACCTTGCAGAATTTTACTTTTATGCCTACCAGTTGAGTTATGCTCACTGCTCAGTTTGATTCCAATATACGTAATTTTTTTTTCTGTAACATTACTTAGGGGCTATCTATTAGTTTTTGGTATATGAAGATATGTTGTTGGGTGCTTTGTTTTATTTTTCCATTGAAGTTGAATCTAAATTTGTGCTCGAGAGATAGCCGTCCCGTTGGATTCGCTCAAGGACCTACTGATTTTAGTTAAATATGCAATGCCTTATCCGATCGAAGAAGTTATTTTTTAAGGAGAGACTAAGCGTTTTTGGGATATACGTACGTACTCCTTGCTTGGAACCATTAGGAGCCCTAATGCTTTGGACTTAAGTAGGCTGAAAAAAGTCATACAACTTTTGACAGCCAAAATCCTGTTGTCTTGCCACTTGACCACACCTCAAACCCTCAGAAAATACTACAGTCTTAGGTGGCGAAGAGTCGATATTGAAGTGTCAAATTTTTTGGACATTGAAGTGTCAAATTTTCTCGTTTATGTGAGCTCTTGGAGAATAAGTGGATCCATTTTGGTTAGGACAACACATGCCTTTGACCGGACAGTTTTTTAGTTTTTAGAAAAAACAATAAAAAAGAAAAGAAAAAAAATATTTTTTTCTACTTCTCTGTTTTACTGGTCACAAATTTTAATGGTGATCAGTTACTGCCTAAGTATTTTCTTTTAAAAAATACTGCTATTAGTTTCGTAAGATTCACTTATGTTACATTTAAGTTTAACTTTAATTTACATTCTGATACGTTTTTAAAAATTTTAACTTTTTATTAGATTTAAAATTTCCTTTTTGTTTCTCGCTATGTAATTTCTTCGAACTCAAATTGGCCACGCAGATTACCGAGCGTTGCAGGAGCATATTGCCTAAGAATCTCACTTATAAGAAGTTGGGGAAGATTCAAATTCAAATCTCTAATTTAATTTGATGTAATGTCACATTCTAAAAGGATAAAATATTTTACACGTTCTCATTATTTGATAATAAGCACAGTTAATTAAATAAATTTAAACAAATGAAATTTGCTATCGGCAGCTTCTTTCAAGAACTGCCGTCTCTGAACATCGCCGCGCATTCTCCACCGATCGAGAATGGCGACGGACTTTCATTCGGAGGAGACGGCTCGCCGCCGGACGGTACGTCGGAAAGAGCTGCCAAAATCCGACGAATGCTCAGAGAACGAACGTGCCTGAAACTGAGAGACCTTTTCGTGTTCTTCGAGAAGACGTCGGAAGATTTAGAGAGAATGAGATAAACGAGAATCTGGACAAGGAAGAAGACGGCCGCAGTCGCTACAATTCCTTCCAAAGGGATAATCTCCATCGTCATCATCGTCGTCGAGAATTATGTATAACAATCAGAAATCGAAGGCGGAAGCTATGGAATGAAGCGGAACTACGCGAAGAAGGCTTATATATAGTCCAGGGAAAGAGGAAATTGGAAAAGCGTGGAGGATTTGTTTATCCAAGAAATTGAGGCTTACTTTGACTTCCCGCCATAAACTTCATCACCGACAGTGGAGGAGCAGAGGCGATGGAGCCGTGGAAGCTTCGACGCGTTTACAGCTAGCGCGTCAGTGGAGTTTCAACAAAATTTCTCGCTAGGTAAACAAAATTTCTGAAACTACTGTTTTCAATCACGATTCTTAATTATCATCCCGTCACTTTCAGTACATTAGTCATAGGAAAAAAAGAAAAAAAAAGCTTCTACTAGTTGAAAAGTTTCACCAGTTCATCTCTCTGCTGCTTTTTCTGAAAGATTCCAATTTAAAAGGCAGATTTCGACCTGAGAGGCAAAAAAAGGTTAAATCGAAAAGAAGTCATGGAGAAGACGACGATGGAAAATGACTAGCACTACACGTGCCAAATAATCTGTCCCTCTTTTGATTTGCTTGTTTTCTTTCCAAATGCAATGTCTATGTGGAGCTGCTTCATCCCTTTATTGTCTCTTTCCCCCAACATGGCACATTCCTTTATAGGTTACAGAAGTGATTCTCTTTCATCATTTTTGCAGAATAAAATGGTGGGTTGCCTTTAACAGTTCCAAGCAAAGTGGACCTTTGTTTTTCTCTAGAGATTATATTCTTCATGGAATATTCACTCAACAAACCAAACATTGAAGGTAAAAGAAGAAAAAAAGTAGAGAGAATGGACACTAAGAAATCTGGATTAAAATTCTTGAATCTATTCCTAGAGGGTTCAAACTGCTGAGCTTTATATATATATATATATAGATATATGCATTGACTCAAAACCATGACTGAAAGAGAGAATTGGGCAAGAAGGGAGGGAAATACTGCTAGTGCTGGGTGATAACACTGTAGATAAGGTTCAAATCTTATTATGTAGAGACATGGTTACCAAAGATGAAAAAGGAGAAGGAAGAAGGAGGAGGAGGAGGTAGCAGTATACTTCCAATCAATCATCTACTTGGGGTAGCTTTCTAAGATTCCTCTAACAAGCATATTCTACTATATTACCTGCAAACAAAATAAGACAATACAGATAAATTGACAGAAGATTGCTTGACAAAGAAACCTTAGTATTAAGGAAACACGTAAGCAAGAAGACAAGTTTCTTCAAATATATATCCTTAGACTATGCAGCCTATTACAAATGCCTCAGATTATGGGGTTTCTTCATATTTAAGGTGGTTTTAGAGAAAGAAGTAGACAAATCTCATCCTTACAGTTCAACAGGAGCTCAGTAGTTGCATAAAACATGAAAGACATTATGCAATGCAAGAGAGAGGTTCCAGTTATAGTTTGGTAAAGAGAGACAGATGTTTTGATCTTATAAATATGATTTGTGGATGTATTAGCCAGCATACAATTTATCTACTTCAAGACTAAGTTTTGGACACAGATTATCCAGACAGATTAGTCTACAGCCAGAATAACTATAGTTAAGACAGCCAGGAACATGCTAAAGATGGATACAAAGGAGGTAGTAAGCATAGGAAACCAAATTTGGCATGAAAATCACACACGGACCAACCATTGGTAATGGATTATAGTTCAGAACCAGAACTAATATACAGAGTTTTGAACCAGCACAATGAATAAATCAGTTGTCTTAATATGTAGCTAAGTTACATATTTCTTCCCAGATTACTCATCGAGCTCAGAAAACTTATTGATCATTAAGTCTTTTTTATTGTAGGAGCTTAAAGATAGACTTCTCAGATGTCTTGAAATGTTTATCATGGACTTGGCTGAGTTGTTTCGAATTTGTAGTCTTGTCGCATTATCACCAGAAAATAATCCGAAGTGCCATCAGAAGGAAATAAGAGCAGGATAAAGTTTTAATTTTTATCTAAGATCAATCTGCTCAAGATGGGTGTTTCTAGAAACAAAACCAAAAACAGCCATCATAAACCCTGAAAAGACTATCTCAGATATTCAAATCAATGACTTCGAAAGCTCTATGAACTCAACTGAGTAATTGGCATATCCATATTCCATACCACTGAATTCCTAGCCTAAAGGTCTAAACTATCACAAGCCACTCTTATGTGTTGTTAATTAATACTAAACATAAGCTCTTTCATTCCAAGTTCAGTATAGAAATGCATCCAACACAAACTACAAGAACAGATAGAATATGGAGTGTGAATAAAGAAGAGCACCAAAGGGGAACGAACACACACCTCAAATGGGCAGAAACAAAACTCAAGGAGAACCTCTGATTATTCTAAACTACAGTAGGAACATCCTCATTTCTGGGTCCGTCAATTCCCACCACTCCATTTTCGTCACCACTGCTATTGACAATTATAATCCCTCCTTCAGTGGCCACACTAGAAACGGTCTCAACACTGCCAGTCTGTTCCCCAGTCCCCATCTCCGCTTCCCCCAACTGGGTCGGCGATTGAGACGAATCCACTTGTATCGCCTCTGTAAAAATAGAACTATGCCTTCTGGCAATGTGCCGCAGAGTAGTCCTCAACCCATAACTGTCTTCTTGATGCATCAGGTCCCGGGCCCTCAAGGCCATCGTCGCCCCTCTGCAACTGACGTGATCCGAAGGGTCATCGGAGGGGAGCTTGAACCGGCAGAGGGGGCAGGAATCATGATTGGAGAGCCACGGGAGAATACAATCGGGATGGTAAAGATGAGAACA